TAAAGGACCACAGTCATTGGCCTCTTTGAGTGACCACTTACTGCTGGAATACTTGAAGGCTCTGTGCTCAGCAAAGTCTGTGAAAATAAGGTAATAAATAAAATAAAATGAAACAAAATAAAATAAACCCCAGCCCACTACTTTTACAAGCTGCTGGAGTGAGAAATGTTGGAAGTCTTTCCACTACAACAGTCATACCTTTCTCGCCTGTGCCCCTGGAAGAGGGTAGATTGAAAGACTGAAAGACTCCTTTTACCCTTGTGTTCCTTGTCGACTTCTATTTAAAATTTTACCCCAAATATTATCCAAGTACAAATTAGTGCTAGTGAATTATTTTTTTTTCCTTGACTGTCTCTGCTACGGATCTCTATGAACAGAAATCAGCATCATAAAGCTACTCTGGTTCAAATACTTACTTTAAAAAGTCAAAACTGCTGTAAGCTATGTTTTATATAAAGTGATTGCTTAGCCTTGTCCCGAACTGGAGCAAAAAGTGAAAGGCCAGGTCTCAGTGATGAATCTAGTTTTTTAAAAAGCTATGTAGTATGGATTAACAGCATGGAAAAAAATCCACAAACCATAAAAGAAAAGAAAAAAAAAGAAAAAAAAAAAAGGAAAAATCCTTGACATAGAATAGGCACAGGGTGGTATCAGTGCATCTTACCTGTGTGAGGAAGCTCTGGATCTGTGCTGTCAGGGAACTCTTTTTTTCTGCTGTGATCTCCTGTGTTTCTACTGTGGGTTTTAGAATGTAGATGAGCAAAAAGTTGACAGCTAATCTGAGCTGTATCAGATCAGGGTTTGTAGCAACCTACCCACACAGAAAGTTAACACTGCTGACTGTGTCCATGAGAAAGCCCTTGTGCAAGTTTCTTTTCTAAAGGTGGGTCAGAGGAGAAAATCTGTGAGGAAACAGGCAGCTTAATCCACCTATAAACAATGTGTTCTCTCTTTTCTAGTGGGCACAAGAAACTGATCAGGTGCAGATCAAGCTTCTCCTCAATAGGAGACTATGGTAAAGGAAAGAAGAAATGTATTTTTAAAACATAAGGGATATTTTATATAAAAATTGCAGGAAAAAAATTATGCTGGTTTATTTTCTGTTGGAATAATTCACTTGTTTCTACCTAGACTGTTAGTATAATTGGGTACACTGCAAATTATGGAAGGTCTCTGCCACCAACCTCTGTTCTGTAATTCATTAGTTTCAAGTTGCTGCCACAACATGTAAGTCATTAAAAATAGAGATCTTCCTAATTTTAGTGGAAACAAAGTACTCATGCTTATGAACTGTAAAAGTTTTGAAGCCTTTATTCAATGGACTGAGATAAAGACAAGTCATGATGCAAGGGATGGGGACAGAAAACAAAACCCTGTCTTGCCGTGTTGGTGGACATAGTTTCTGTGTGAGGGACAGTATTTTGGTCTCAACCAGTGTTTTGGTACCACAAATAGTGAGTTGAGGCTTTGGTGCTGAAACAGCCTCAAACAATCATTTACCACAGTGCTCTTGGGTGTAAATGGTTTCCACATCAGAATGGTTTCTGTGATTCAAAAAGCTATAGGTAGCCCCTGCCATGGTTCAATGTTTATATAAGAGTCAGATGGGTTCATCCTTTACTTCCAGTCAAATGATGAGGGGCGGTATCTGTCCGGGGCACTAGATTGTGTGTTAGGATGGACCTACGAATAGTGTCATGGAAAGGGATTTTATTTGTGCAGATGTGGAGGAAAGGATATAGTGCATGGCTGGAGCTGAGGAATATGTCTCCTCTATGGTTTCTTTGAACATGGGACCCCTGGCAGCTCTGCTGGTCCCAGCCTTCTAAATCCATCACCCTGTATCAATTACTGCTTGTTAGATTTTGCTCTGCTCTGTTCAAGGGGGAAACTGGGGGGACAGTGCACTGCATGGATAGAATCCTAAACCAAGGGTCCTTAGGGAGAAGCCAGTGGGATAAGTTCTGTGCTCAGCATGTGAGAGTTCACAGCCCTGATTATAGACTACTACAAGAGAGACTGCCCTGGTTAAATGCAGCTTTTCTCTTGGGTCTTGTAAATCTAGAAGTGCTGTTTCTGTTAGTAAATATTGAAGTCAGACACCTTCCTCCAGCACTGACTTGCTGGGAAAATTGTAGCTTGGCCTAGAAGGAAAGATCTATTGTCAAAACCTGGAAGAAAATGAAAGGGAAGCTGGTAGAATGGAGCTGCTACCTAGCAAAAAAGCCGCCATTTACTGTCAGAGTCTGGGGCCATGGGCAGCTGTCCTCTGCTAACACTTTCTAGCTATGTCCTTTCTGTGGAATTCAAAGGGGTAATTTTAAATGGTTCCTTAACAGTTTCTAGTTAAGTATGAGCTAAGGCACTTTTCTTGCTCTCCTACTCATTATGTCATTGTGCAAGGCTGATGAACTTGGGTGTTTGACTCTATTAATTGCCACTGTGAACTCTCACCTCTTTGTCCTTGGTGAGTTAGTTTCCAAATCTCAGACCAGGAGAGAAAATGAGGCTCACTTCAGTCACTGCTCACATAGCAAAGCTTATATGAGCATGTTAGGAAGAAGGAGCCTGTGTCTGCTGCTTATTTTTCCTGGAGTAGCCTTTTGGAGAGAGAACTATGAGAACTCCTGGGCATCTGAAATGCTGCTCAGCCCAAAGCTTTGCAATAGGACATCAAAAGGAGTTATCAGCACCATAGAAGAAGCAAAATCCACTCACAAATCCAGTTCAACACAAAGTCTAGCAACCGTGGAACAAGTTTATCCTGCTAGATTTGCCCTACAATGCCCACAGTTACCTCTATTCATGATTTCTTTCACTCTGTTATGGTGGTGCTAAGAAACAGCTGGAAAGATGGCAATATGTCAATCTGACTGGTTTTGCTCCAGAATTTTCATGAGGAAGTAGGGAAAGATTCAGGTCTCTACTAATTTGCTTGTATATGTAATTTTATGGGTGCAGCTGCTAAAGTGAGATACTTACAAGTCTGAAACCTCAGAAACCTTAGAGATCAGACATTTCATATGGAACCAAAGCAGTTATGGAGGCAAAAATCCATATTCAAAGGGTTTAAAGCATTTTCCCCATAGTGCAGCTAATGAACAGGAGAGCAAGCAGAAGGAAAATCAATCTGAGATCATGCCTTTGCTAAGCCAGGTGTTGATAGGAAATGGTATAAATTTGCCCTCGTATTTCCATAGCAGAAATACAGTTTTATATGAAAAATTAATTAAGTATTAAATTGCACAATCTCGTGTGGTCATATGGATTATTATTAGTGTGTCTATTATCTTGTGGCATTGCTTCTATTTAGGTACATTTGTATAACAGCAGATAAGACATCTGTCTTGGAATTGGGGTCCCTCTGAAGAAGATGGTGTATCAGCAAGCAAAAACTGTGCTGGCTGACTACACCTCGTTAGCTGAGATAGCACTTGGCACAGTAAATACTAACAATACTAAAATCATGTTATCTAGTCCTACTTTCAGGTTGAAGTCTGTGGACACAATCACAATTCAATGTGATACAGTAAAAGCAGGTTAACAGATGGAGGTTCATCATGGGAGCTTCTGCAGCTCAGGGATGTTCAGTCATGTGTTGTACCCTACTGAATACTGTCTACATTTTTTCCTTTGACTGTACTGCTTAACACCTTCCTGCAGCATGTGTTTAAATTCAAAACAGTCCAAGACAAATTTAGAGGTGTTGATACCTGAAACCAAAGCATCATTACAATTCAAAACAAAAAGAAGAAATCTAAATATCTTTAGCTGAATTGGACCAATATGTGGAGCTACAGTGACTTGCCCTCTTGTGAGGAAGCAAAAAAACCTGATTGATCTGGGGAAAAAAAAAAAGAAACTATCTGGCACTTTGTTCACATTACACACAAAAATAAGTCACAAAACTTAAAATAACTTCAGAGTATGTGAGACATTTTATTGTGGAAAAGACAGCACCTATTTAGATGTTTCAGGAACTTTGTGTTTAGTCTTTTCTTCAGTAAAACATTGTTAGCCTTACCCTCTAGAAAACTTGGAACCTTGTCTGTCTCTGCATAATGATCTGTTATAGAGGATTGCAGAATGCCATAGTGCTTCTATTTTAGTACTCAATGTAAAGATTTCTCTTCCCAGCTAGAAAAGACCTTTGATTTCCTAATGAATGTGTCAAATGATCTGAGAACTAGTGGGTGTGGTAGTAATCACTTGAGTTTACAAGTGGAACAATTCTGTTAGCCAAACTGGACGAAGAGGAGGTGAAAAACCTTTTTAATACCCTCATACCTATTCCCACCAAGGAAAGAGAGTGAAAAACTAATTTTCTCACCTCTCCCTCCTCAGCCCCATGAAAAAAAAAGATAGAGATAAAAAGAAACAGAAAGATCAAAAGTCTTTGAAAAAGTATTAGACATTGATGCTGAAAGCTTTTAAATACCTGATTCCATGAGTCACACCAGAGACACATGATCAGGCAGGTAAGTGACTGCACTGGATCTCAGGTACCCTCATAAGTCATAGCTCACTTTCTCTATTCCTCATCTTGCCGTATGGGGCAAACCTCCCCCGGCATTTCCATTCTGGCTTTCCTTTCCATGTGTTCTGCATTACCCACTGCAGGAAAGTCTGTACACCAAGATGTTTTAGTCTGAAACAGAATCTTGTAAGGAGTCGTCACGAGAGATTTCTTCAGGAACTACTGTCATTATCTGCAGCAAGGTTGAAGACCAAAGACAGCATTTCTGCAGCAAACAGGAGATTTGTAAAGAATTCTACACTTGAAAATTGTCTGCTGTGTCTGAAAATAGTGAGATGTGGCTGCTACAGAAGTTGAAAATCCAGACACTGGTGTTAATATACTTTTAAGATCAGAAGTCCAAGATGTGCACACACAAGGTTGGACAACAATGAAATATAGATATAATTGTTACTTTTCAGATACTAAAAGCAATTGTAAAAATGTTATTTCACAAGGAAAGAATAATCATTAATCACTTTGGCATTATACAGACAGTAATTATACTCTAGCTAGGCAAGGTAATTATAATTAGACCAGAGGAAAGGTCTCTGACAAAGCAATAATAACTGACTCTCTGTTCCCCAGCTGCCCGACTCCATAATATTTTTGTCCAGTTGAATTTTCTCTGCAGGGAAAGTGGAACAGCAAGAGGCAAGTCCTCACTGAGAATGGGACAGAAAACAAAACATGTAATGTCTTCCTGGAGCAAACCAGCCACTTTTATGACCTAATGGCTGAGTTTTAGAGCACAATAGGAAATAACAGATTTCGAGGCTGTGGAGTCAGGGCTCAGGAACACTTCTGTTGCTCAGATGCTTTCAAGCTTTGTTTTAGTCATGAGGCAAAGTCATACACATTTTTAAGGAAGGAAAGCTGAAACTGAAGAACACATTTTTACAACAAGGAGTGGTTACATGTCAAATCCCCAGGCCCTCAGAGCACAGGGGGCTGTGTCTGTGTGTTTTCAAATATGTCCCTAAGGTGGGTCTGGTACAATGTGTCCTCTGGAAGACCCAGACAGATCTTCCAAGAAGCCTAGCTGAAGCATCCCTAAGACACTGCAGGAATTACTGGTATACCCCTGCATGCCACAAGCATCTCTCTGTAAAGTGGCCCTTCAATTTCCTGGTTGCCTAAGAGTTGAATTTCTTCTTTCCTGAACTTTTAAGGTCGACTTCCTCCCTGCCTTGTGCTACCTTACAGTCATTAAACAGGACATCACTGGGTAAAAGTAAATAAATACATCATAACTTAGAGAAAACACAGTTCTTAGTGGTTTCTCTAGAGTTGCCTTTTTTTCTCCCAAGGGATGTCTCCACTCTCGGAACCCTCCTCTGCCTCTTCTCTGTCTGAGGTCTGTTTTGGGGTGTGCCCTGAAATTGTATAATAAAATCATGTATTATTACCGGTCCCTGTGAACAATTATAATAGTGGATGATTTTAAGCCTGCATTAGCAATGGGAGCTATTAGCAGAATTCAGAAACTGTTCAAGTTGCTTCATTATGTGCTGACCTGAATACATTTCTTTCTAGGCAATTAAAATTCTGCCATAGAAATATTGCCTTTCAAGTACCCCACTTTACTGTGATTTTTATTTGAATGATCATGTATGCAAAATACAAATGGAACTAGAAATATATACGGCATATATAATATATAGCAGCCTTTGTAAAGCCAGTCAGAAAAAATACTATTCAACAAAAGTGTTAGGCATTTTCAGTTGAGAAATATTATCAGATCCATAGTTGAATGAATCTTACAGAGAAGTTGTAATTATTTGAATTTATAATACCACATTGGGTTGGCAGGTTTTGCTGCTTCTTGCTGTTTGTTTTTCACTTGTGTTAAGAATTTTGTTTTCCAGCAATATTGGCAGAAGTAAAAAAAATCTTGAAAATTCCCATATGAATGGATGTTTCTAACAAGATCTGCAATGGACACATTTTTGTGATGAAAACTTCCTGAAGTCTCTGCTCCTGTGTATGGCTGTTTAGACACCTGATTTAGGAGGAGTAATTTTGCCATATGACTTGAGCACTGTTTCTGAAGCTCATGGTATTTGATATTTTTCTAAATTCATAAAAACTGAAGAAATGCTACAGCAAGCCTGCAGCTTCATCACTCTAAACTAAGTGGTTAACTCATGGTCCTATTTGCACCAAGACAAACTTAAAATATGTTTCTTGAATTATGGAAATCCAAGGACCAACTAAAAACTCTAAACATATCCTTAAATCACAAATTAATCTGTTTTTTCTTGACCTATGAATATTTGAGTGCTTGGGGCTGACAGTATAACCTAAATTACTCACCACAGGCACTGAAGAGGAAGTAGCTGGGGATACAAACTAAGCTAACAATAGTTTGGAAACAAACCACGATTTAAGATACAATTGCACCAAGGGTTCTTCATAAAGAAGCTGCTGAGCTTGGGGAGCATCTTTTTCTCCCTGAGAAGGAACCTCTCCCAGGGTTCCCCGAAGGCAATGTGGCTCTGCGAGCCCTTGACGATGAGGGCAGAGAGCTGGAGACAGCGGCACTGACCACCTTTCTGTCCTGTGTGATTTTAACTTGATCAGTGTCTGGAGCATTTCTTAGGTCTCCGTAATAACAGTAACAGCAATGACAGAAATTGACCCTTTAGTAATTTCTGGAGAAGGAAAGATATTTCTCCTTTTTGCCTATGCACAGTGGTAAATTTTTTTAAATTTCTAATGTATTCCCCTTCGTGTTATTATTTTGAGCAGTGAGTGACAAACGGCAGTAGACACATCTACTATGGAGATTAATAAAATCATTAATAGTTTTTAGAACGACATTTTTGCGTTCAAAAGAGTTTATTATGTTAAATGCCATGTCGTATTTCTTTCCCTGTGGTGCTCAGCCTTTCTTTCACTTTATCTCTCAGTGTTTTTCACAACGTGTGAATTGCCCAAAGTAAGGCTTTGATCTTGCAAATGTGTGCAGACTACCTAACTTGAGCCATTCTCTTACATCCAATTGCTTTCAGAAATTCTTGCCTAAGTATTTGCTTATTAACGTTTTAGATTTGAACTGCGGAAAGGACAGTGTCTCACTCAGTTTACAAAGCGACCAGCACAGTTGGATCCAGTTTCTGATTCAGTGCAGTTGAACTCATAATAGTATACTAGTGATAAAATATTTATCCATCCACTTGTTAGGTAGATATTCTGAAGTACTTTTTTTGTTTTAAGAAAGTTTTTATTTAATCGTTGAATATGCTTGATGTTTTAATGAACAATATTAAGGATTAACATATATCAAATAGTTGAATTGGACACTAAAATCAAAGGTATATATTCTTCTGAGGGAGTTTAGGTAGGTCTGATGCACTGAGAGTAAGAACCCACATGTGGTTTTCACCCCAGCTTTCCTTTCCTGGCAAATATACAAGGTTTTCTTTGCCTCTTTTTCAAGGTTCACTATTTCCACTGTTTATAGCTCACCTCTGACATATTGTCCCTCAACTCTAGTACACAAAGTCCCTTATCTTTTTTTTCTCTTTTCATTGCAACTGGTGACACCCCCAGGGGAAGACCATTAGCAGATAGAAGTCTGAGAAATATGTGTATTTGCTTGGTGCCTTTATGGGGGCTAACAGATTAGCTGAAATTATGTGTGCCTTTTGATGCATTATTTTTTCCACTGCTCTGAAGAAACAAAGGTGGTCCTTCTGCTACTTGAAACTACACATATGTCATGCACTTTGACAGAGGAACTATCTCTGCATATCTGTGTTGTTCTCATATGTGCCATGTTTGCTACAGCTTTGCTTTGGTGCAGGTAGTTCGGCAGAACAGTCAATGCAGCCTATGCCAACAGGGGATGTTATTTGTCAGCTCACTTACAGCACACCTCTGAGAATTATAAAACCAACAGGCAAAAACCTTTTCTGCATATGGCTTGTTACATTTCCACCCAGAAAGTCTTTGTACGTGTGCTGTGTGCCACGAGCATCCTGTCCTGCTTGGAGTTAATCTGCCACATGGCTGATCTGATGGTGGACAGTGGTCACTTAACTAAACAGCAGGAAACCCCATGAAAATTTCTGCTTTGACAGGGTTCATTACATCCAAAATTGTGGGAGTGTCATCAGATTACTTTTTTTTCAATCTAGGCAAGCATTCCATGCAGAATAAGGGAACATCTGTGAACATAAGTCTGTTCTTCTCCTTTCTACACATGGTAGAGGTTTTCTGGGCATAGCAAAAGCAGCTAAAGAGGACAGAACTAATTCATATTTGGAACAACAAAACTAATGGCAACAAAACTTTGGTGCGCAGATCTACCTTTATTTCTGTAATTGAATGGAAATCAAGCAATCGTGGAAGTGCCTATCAATATCACTAAATTAAGAAACAATTTTTTTTTCAATGTTGCCATGCTGTGGAGTGGTTTGTGTGAGGGAGGGGTAAAAATGATCCTAGACACATTTTCCTCATGTTTATTTTTGGTGGCTGTGACTCAGAGGGTGAACACAAGTAATGCAGTTAGTGCCTTCTCCACTGGCTCTGGAAATAACCATTATTATTTACTCGAATGGCGGAAGTGCCTTGCCTTCCCTGTCATGGATTAGCACTCAACTGTGCTGGCTATTACACAAATACCAAACAAAGAGTTGTTCCTTGCCTCAGGAGCTTTTCCCACAAATAATAACAGATAGATGTGAGTTATCTCCCTTATGATTGAAAACAATTCCACCTTTCACCAGCTCTTCCCCTTCACATATTTGCTGGGGTCTCCATGGACCCACATACACTGGATTTTTGGAAATTGCTCTAAACATGCACGGTACCTAAATAACTGAATTTCTTTGCAATTTCAGTTGCAGAAAGCATTTTGAAAGTATTCATCAAGGCTGCAGACCAAGTACTGCATCCAGATACAGGCACCCAGTTCATCTTTTCTGGGAGCTGTGGGTGTGAACTGCAGTTCATGGCACTTCCTGAAGAATTTCAAGGGGGAATATAACAAACAGTCCAAGTATTCATACCAAGAGCTTTGTTTTCAGTTTCACTGCAATAACAATTAGCAACTAGTTGGCTTTTGGCCATTGAAAATTATATAGCCAACTGGCAAAAAGTATCATTTTTTCCTGGCTTTATGCTTGCAAGCTGGGTGGCATAGGAGGATTTTGTGAGTGTATATAACACTAACCTCTGCAGAATAATGCAGTAACTAGTCAAAAGTGCTTTCTTCACACAGTGAAAGGCTAATTGCCAAGCAGCTTCACTGACCTTCATCAACACTGATCTTTGTTAAACAGTGACATTTGCCAGTGTCTTCCTCTTTTTGTCTGTTTTTCTCGTGTTCTAACTTTTTGTTTTGTTTCATTCCATGTCTATGCACAAAATTCTTCCTGATTTGAGAAAGATTGCAGATAAATGCAAACCTCCAGTCCCATGGCACATTTTAACAGCTGTGCAGGATCTGTTCATGATACCCGAGACTAGTGCTCCAGGAGATACACAGATAACTTGCTGGACCCCACAGCTGCCCTATGCTGGCTACCCAGAGCTGAAGAGTGCCCACAGCTGGGTACTTCCACCCCCAGGACTACCAGGTCCTCAGAGAAGATGCTTTGATTGCAGCTGTCTCCTTTTGCAGTTGTACCTGTTTGCCCAGATTTCTCCACTCCCCAAGGCAAGGCTGCCTCATTAGCAAGCTGGCAGGTTTCAATCCATCATCCTCAGTTCCAGGCTGAAAGCTGAAAGTATATAACAAGCAAATAGTAGTTTACGACATTATAATTGCAAATATTTCTTCTTTGTTTTCATCTCAAGGAGGAGAGGTTTGGAATGAAAAGAGAGCAGAGGCTTGCCAATGAGTGAAGTTTTATGGGCTTATGTCCCAAAATTATAGCATCTGAGACAGTCAGTTAGGAGCTACATCCATTCTTTAAATGTTGCTTAAAACCAAAGCAAATTCCAAATAAAAATAATGGGCTTCCTTAGAAAATAAGTGGTACTAGAATAGATAACATCAAAATTACTATCCTTGTAAAATGAAAAAGCGACAGAAATGAAGATGGTATGATGTCTATACCTCAGTAGTAATTGTGAGCATCTGTATATGTGTCTAAAAATACAGTCAAAAATACGTTAAATCACTCAAAAATAAAGAAAGTCACTTTGCCCATGATCTTCTAAATATTCTCTAATTTTTTTCTGTTCACTTTATTATAAATATAATAGCTCAAAACTAGTTTCAGCAAACCCTGAGGCAGACTGAGCTGCAAGCTCTCCACAATCTTCTATTTTTCCTTTGAATTCCACAGCTCACATATTCAAATACTGTGGGAGAACTTCAGCTGTCCTTTTTCTCTTCCTGTTGAATATGGATAAAATTTTTGGAGCTTGAACCCGAAAGACTTAAGAAAAACTTTAAAATGCCCAAGTTCATTACTTCAAACCATCTTCTTACTTATAAGGAAGGTTTTTAAGGCACAGCTTATACCTTTTTAAGATGAAGGTCACCTTAAACATTACAAAAATTGGATAATAAATTCAGCAGGCACTATGTAGGCACCAGAATAAAATTGCTAATTTTCACACCAATTTTTCTGTGTGGTGAGAATTTTTAACTTCCATTAACTCAGTAAGCTTATAAAGGAAGCCTGAAGTTATGTTTTTGTTTTAATGGAATACAGGTTGGTATCTTAATGTAGCAAGGTACATTAAATCTATTTAATATTGAGACTTTTTTAATACTGAGATGTCAAGATAGTTAACTGGAGAGCTGTAACCTCATGAAAATACACCCAGTATTTGCAGTAAGGGCATATTCAGTAAGGTCAAGATGGGAACTCCAACCCCCTGAGGCAGTAAACAAGGCTGCTTGCTATCAATTCAAGCTAAAACTTCCATGTTTCTGTCAGTAGTCCACAAGACAAAGCTTTGAGAACTGCCAAGTCAGATCTTTTCAAACAAGAAGCAGGTTAAGTTCAGAGGAACACAAATGATCAGTATTTTAAATGTCGGATAGCTTCAATAACTTCAGAATAACTTAGCTTGCATTCTGGGATCACTTTTCTGCAAGGGGGCAAAGTTGCAAACAGTATAAATTAAAAGTGGTAAAAATATTTATTGGCAACCTAAGTTTTTAGGAGCATGATTTTATATGTCTCTGTTTGCATAGCTTCAGCATAAATGGGGCAATATTAATACCACAAGAAGGTCTGTTTACATGCTGCTCCAAGAATTTTCATGCAAAGGAAAAAACGCTTGCCTTTGCCATTATTCTTTACGACCATAAATCCTGGTTAGCTTAAAAAAACTAAGCTTTTTTTAAATGTTTATATGATTCTATTTTTTTTATCATGGAAAGAAAAGATGATTACTTGGAACATCTGATAAAGATGCTTATTAGGATAAACATATTATTATTTTTTGTCTATAAAGGACATCCTACCTGAGCTCATTCTCTGTGGTGGAACAGTGCCTATCATGTGTTACTATGCTCACAGTGAAGTTGTAGGGCTTCTCTCAGCAGAAAAGAGGTGGTGATGTCTCCTGTTTGGACATGAAACCTAGCATTTGTCCCTGACTAGCTAGAAAGTCTATACTGCCACATAAGAAGCTGTAAGACCAATAAAGTAATTTCTTTGAGTTTCCAGTAGCCCCAGTTCATTCACTCACACTAGAAGTGTTGTACATGAAGTTGTATTCCTGTACAAGCCTTTCCATATGCAAAGGCCATGCATCTGGTGATCCTTGTTCGACCTCAGACAGTCCCTGCCTTGCATCTTTGTCCCAGATCCAGTTTTCCTCAATGGAGTTCACGTCTTCAGGCAGACTGAGCTGGCAGAGTCCAGCACTCATCCTGTCACTCTTACCTTGTACCAAGCTGGACACTGGGGTTGCTCACACTAAAGCAGTTTCTAATTCCATCTCTGTGCAGGACCAGTACACAGAAATGCACAACAAAGCAGGACTGCTGGGTCAGGAAACGATTTTTTTCCCCCCTCCACATCAGCATTTGTTGAGAAGTTGAAAGGGTGGAAGAAGACGACTTAGTGGTTCATCTAATGTGCATGACATTATCCCCTCCCAAACTGCTACCCAGTTTCCTCACATAAAGCTCTCTCTACTTGGAAAATAAAACGTGGTTTGATTTTGCAAAGTGCTGAGATCATACATCTCTCACTGATAAATCCAGGCAAGCTTATTGCAGCACTAATAATGGTACACAGGTCTGCTACATTGGCTGCTTTCAAACTTTTGCCTTGCCCATTTCACTGACACTAGAAAAAAATTAATTTTTCAGCAGACACTTGACCTGAAAATAAAACTGTTGAGTTAAATGAGCTTAGTACATGCTTGGGATAAAAGGTTGTGACAGACCTAAGAGAGAGAAGGCAAAGAGAACAGCTAACAACAGGAATTAAAAATTGAGGTGAATGCAGAAAGGAAGAACAGAAGCTGTAGAAATTCTGGAGCAGAAAGGATACAATACCAGCAGCTGAGAAACATGAGCTGGGAAAGTCTTTGGAGGAAAGGTCTTTGAGATCAGCCTTGCTTTGGGTTCATGCAGTCTCTACAGTGGGATTATAGAGCTACAGCTAGGTTGTGGTATTGCCATTGAGCAGAGGGACTCAGAGAAGAAAAAGGTTAGAAACTGGGACTGTGTTGTCAGAGCAGATCTGCCATAAAGTCCCAGCCAACCACAAATCCATCACTTGTCCTCTATATCTCATGGTGAGCTGTGATACTTTCACATGACACATGGCGAGCTAAATACTTTCTTAGCTTTTGGGGTCCCTCTGTTAGTGAAATAAGGGCAAGGGGAGGGACATTAGTTAAGGAATTAAAAAGCTGCATCTGGATGGAAGCTTGTAGACAATGTTGCTTTTTGGACTAGGAGAGATCTATAAAGGGCCAAGGTTTCTGAGGAAATTCAGAGCAATTCAACCGATGGGTGGAGGGCTGATGCTTTGCTTATGGTTGTCCTTGGCTGTGTCATGGCCAAGAAGTGAGATGCTTGATTTTCTGAGCAGTGAGGCCTACACCGCCCGGGGTTGGGCTGATGAATACAGGCAATGCCATTATCCTCCCATGTGTGGGAGGGGAGGTGGTAGGAAACTGAAACTTCTAAACCACATGATGATGAAAAGATCTAAGTTTCATCTGACCTGGCTGCCAGGACCTTTGCTGGAGAGAATAGAACTCAAGTGTTCAAGAAATAATGATGTGTGTCTATCCAGTTGTTTCTGTGTTAAAACAACCATTTAATTCACTTCAGTTTTAAGATTTTTAGTGGTGAAATTGCACAGCAAAGAGTTGCATAGGAAGGATTATAGTTCTGACCAGTGAAGTTAACCTGTCATTACTCATATCCACATAAACCATAATGTTTTCTATTGGTCAGAAAAAGAGATATATCTGTGATAAAGTTAATTTACTTGTCTTAATGTGATCTGCATGGACTTTTCTTAGCATTTAGGCAGAAAAAGTAACCCTGTTTTGCTTTGGTCAAGATAAATCAATAGCCTTGAAATTTGGAAACAATATATATTCGACCACACAAACTAATAAGGCACCAGTGTTTTAGCAGACATTATAAAACATAAAATTAGATGGAAAATTGCCTTAAGCCCCTGTAAATTAAAATTACTCTTTTTATAGCAAAAATGAGCCTTATATAGCAACAAACAATTTTGTGATCTTCATTTGACTAGCCAATTTCATATGGCAAACAGTATTTATTCATCCTGCTCCAGTGACCTAACCAGCAATTTACAATGTGATGCCTTGCATATTTTCACAGCATTGTAAAAAATTGAGGTTCTGTAGATTTATTTGATCCCTGTTGAAAAATTATTTTTTTACCTCCTCCTAACCAGTGTAAACTGGAAATTGTTCTTAATGTAACTCTCTTGCTTACCATGCACTCATTAATCAGGAAACTAATTAGAGCCAGTTTTCTTACTCTAGTTTGAAAAAGTGAAAGTAACATATGTTGACAGTTAATTTGGATTTTTTTTTTTTGTTAACTGGCACACAAGTTTTTATAATGAAATAATATTTGATATTGATACAGAAGAACATGGGCTAATAAATTGCAACAGGCTGGGAAAATGCAGTATGCTAATCACTATGGGAATAATAACATAGATCATTTAGTGCTCTAGTTTTTCTGTTGACAATTTTCCATTTTAGCTATTTTTATACGGTATTACAGTGACTTGATTTGGAACTTCTCAAACACACGTCAGTACAAGTTTTCAGCATTTTGCAAGTTTGTACAGGCCCAGTGCACTTTCTGAGACTGAGTTACAAGAAAAATATTATGCATCTAGGCTCCATTTCAAAAACTTCTGTTGTCTCGGCCTTTTAAGAATGTCATTATGCATAAAAGGGTGCCAGCTGACAGCCTGCAAGACTCTCAGTTAAAGCTCAATATGAAGCCCACCCAGGTCATTTGCAGTCTTTGCCCTGAGCTGCTTTGTCACTGGGACAGATGACTGTCAGCAGCAGCAGGAGCACCCCCATGTGAGCCACCTGTGAGCTGGAGACTGACCTTTACCCATCTGTGTGGGAGTTTGGTTGTAGTACAGATGTCCCAACATCTGCAATCTTCACTCCAGTAAAAGCAGGGGACAACAGCATTGGTGACTTCACTTGGAGAAATCAGTGATGCCTCTGGAGAACTCAAGATATTCACAAGTCCCTGCCAAGGCCCACACACTTTAGCTGCACCCAGGCAGAA